AATACAGAAACAAAAGTGAATTTTTCTTTCTGATTTTTGTATTTCCTTTTTCAGCACAGTCCATAGGAAAGTTTAGGTTCTTGTCATGGTCGCTCAAAGTTCTGCAGGAGATTCAAATGATCAATTTTCAGTAGCGATATATTTAAAATATTTATTTTATTTTTGATTAATTTAACCTTTCTTTATATCTTGTGAAGTACGTCACCCCCTGCGATCGCGCAATTACTATGCGCTTCCAACCGAATGTCAGTTGTTGGCTTCGGCCGTTTATTGATCATCCTAAATTTGATAGCAGAATTATGTGCCGTTACCACTTATTGCTTCAACTTCTCCAGTCTGTCCAGTTGGCCTGTGTACTGTTTGCACTTGAGGAAACTCACCTATATAAGCTGAGATAGTGAGCTGCAATCTATTTCAGGTGCGCTCCGTTGCGGAATTTGATGCGATGTCCGGAGAAGCGACAGTGATGCGAATTTTGTGCATGTTCTGTAAGTGATACTCAGTTAACTATAGCATGGTTGTGGTAATGATTCTGATTTTAGTCACTTGTTTCAGCTGTGCTGTTGCGCAGTTGCGGACCGGATCTATACGTCTCACCGGCTACGATCAAACGCTGTCAGTACAGAATATCCCCAGTCGATACACAGAACTGTGTCCGTTGCACTCGTACTTGAGGTACCTGTGTAATAAGAAGGACGTTCCTGTTCAGCATGGCAACGGTGAAACGCGACCTTCCGTACGGATATTGGAAATGAAGTAAAATTGCATGTTTATCAACATAACTCATTGCTTTTTGGACGAGATTTCACGCTAATTTTTCCGTTTCCTTCGCTTCCGTTAATTTCATATTTTATATTCGTTAGCCACGTACAGTTTAAACGTGCAATCTGTGAATTACAGTCCAAAAGATTTGCTGATGATGGATGGTAACAGCAGTTGAGATTTCGTATTATGTGCATGGAAATAATTGGCTGCCCCGTTGGTTTCGCACGAAGCTACTATGGCAAATTTCAGGTTGAGACGGGGTAGCGCAGTGCTATGCAGGATGATGGACGCCATGGTAGAGTCAGGTTCGTATCTGTGCATGACGTAAAATGCTTGTTACTAAATGTTAATGCTCATGAGCAATGAATTCAGCCATAGCGTTTCAGTCAACCAGCCATGAGATATATACCAGATCATTGACTTTCGAATGGTAACGATGGTTATTCTGTGACCGGAATATATTTTGCCGAACGCCGTATCATTCAGTAAGGTTGCAGAGCTTGGGCAATGTAAAATAAACAGTTCAAACAGAAAGAAACAATGATGAGGTAGGTCGCCATCAGGCTGTCTAAGGTCTTGTGTCAAATGTCCATCCTGATCGTATGATTTTTAGCTTTACACTTGCTCTTTACGAATGTAATATACTGCCGCCATCTGAGCGTCATAAAAAGTAGATGATTTTTCGTTTATTTTAACACACCGTTCAAATTTTCGGCACGTACTTCATTTTTCTTATTCTGTGTCTGTTTTTATGATAAGATTTTTGAAATGCAAAGAATTGACGAATTAACCAGTCAATTAACTTTTTCGTCGCCGAAGGTTTTCGGTGCAACTTAAGTGATATCCAGTTCTGTCCGTTTAACTGACATTTCGAACTGTAAAACTCTCAGTTTTATGGAATCACGAATCAAGGAGCTTTCACATGATGATTATCGAAATGGCAGCTGCCAGGTTGTCCTTTCCACTATGGCAGAGTTCATTGCTCACGACCACAGTAGCTGTAACTGAGCAGCTGAATTGTAGAACGTTGAACTTATAACTAAGAGCTGTAAAGTTCGTGTCCCGTTCGTGTCAATCATCTTTTTTCCTTTCGAGGTTTACAACTGGTTATCACTTCATGGGAAGGAAACACGACTCTTCGCATTGTAGTCTTGCTTGTCCCATAGGCCCAGTAGTCTTTACTTTTAGATTCAGACATTCCTAGCTCATGATATGTAAATGTGGATCAGCATCACACCATTAACTTCTTGTAAAGAAGGGTTCCAGATTGGCCTGTTCATCACAGTATAATTTAGATCGATATTAAAACGGTTTGAAACTTTCTTTTTCATTTCCTTTTTTGAATGGTTATTGTAAGCCGCTGGGTATGAATCACACAGAATGAAATCGGATGCTTCATTTCACTATGAAACTGTGTCAGGTTTTTCTTTAACAAATATGAGAGCCGTTAAGCCAAAATGTAGAGTGAGAGTTTAGCTTTTTACACTTCACGCATGTAACGCGTTAATGTTTGCTTAGTGCGTACACAACGAAGTGCTCAGGAAGAGCTTTGGCGTTTTTCTTTACTCTGTGGCGGGTTTATCTTTGGTCAAACGAAAGGAATGTTTGTCATCCCTGGAACGTTGATTTTCTCGAAGTTGTTTGTTCAGTGCTGATGGTATTTTCTATGTATTCGCC